TGATATTGATATTGGGAAGAGAAGAAAATCTGATACCGATATATCGGCCGATATCTTTCTTAGATCTATGTTCAAGTAGAAATAGATAGATATAGATATACACATTTATTGAAATTGATCCCTCAAATCCATCAGTTATCAAACACTTGTGGAACCAGCAGCACACTCTGCTGGTGAAAAAGAAAGGCTAGTGTAATACAATGAAACTCAAATAAAATTATATTTGACTGTTGAATAAATGGAGTAATATTAACGGCATATGTCTGCGATAAAATTAGACGATACCGATAGTCACTGGATAAGCTTATATTGGCCGATATTATCGGCTGGACGATTAATCGGTCAGGCTTTACTCTTAACACAGAAAAACAGCTGGCATGGCCTTTTCTAAGATGAGAAAAGCCTACCAGCACGTCTAGAACTCAGTAATTCACAACTTTTTGTGTTTGTTGAAAAGATACTGTTTGTATGTTCAAAAAAAGGACTATTGTTTCATTGAATGTGTATGAATAAATGAATTGGGCTGCTAACCCTCTGCCTCCCTTACGTGTGGACAAGGTGTTATACCCTTACAAATAAAGACAATCCAGGTCATACATGGCAGTGGTCTGTGTGGGACGGAGATAGGTGGCATCAAGGTGCAGAGGAGGAGCTGATGGCAACCACCAGGCTGGGTGGAGTGGGACAATTTGCTGACAGGAGGAGAAATAAATGAGCTCTGAGATGAGAAGTTAGAGTGCACAGTGACATATGGCAGAGGAGCTGTCTGGCACTGAGATGAAGATAGATTGGCTCCGGGTGAACCTCCAGGTACACAGTGTGAGGACGAGGTACATGGTGACATCTTCATCTGTGGACATTAGTGAGTAAAGGACCTGCAGGGATGACTTTTAGTATAACTGTAATTAAACTATAATGTATCTCCAGATTTATTTAGAGTTTAAACACAGGGTGGATTTTTTCGGCTTATCTTCTTTATACTGAAAAAGAAGGGCTACTTTAAATACACAGGTTTTGATTTGTTCTTTTTGTGGTTTGATTTGTTAGACGTGATGTTCAAACAGCAGATAAGTAAATAAGCGAACAAGTAAGTCATTCAATATTTAGAAATGATCTTATAAGAGCACACCTAAAGGACGACACAGAAAAAGATACTTTTCGTATAGTTTTCTCCAAACTCAAGAATAAATTCAAGATGGGATTGAATTAGCAGCAAGGAAACCAGTGAGGTGTCAAAAAAAAATACAGTACCTAAAAGGCCCAAAGCTCTTTTTCAAAACAATTTTAGAAGTGATTGAATTTTTTTTTGCTGGAAACATGAAGTAAATGCCAATCTGAAATCAATGATCTTTTTTTTCATGGTGGAGATAAATCCTTCAAAAAAGTCTGATCACGATGTATGAAGAGAAAAATAGCATGCTTGGAGTCTCAGAGGGGGGGTGGGTCAAGGTTGACTTGTTATGTAATTTAACTTCAGCCATTTACATAACACATCAATAGATTCATTGACATAACCTGAAGTAGTTTTATGTTATATAATCAACAAGGTAACAAAGCCTCACACACACGCACACACACACACACACACACACGCACACACACACACACACACACACACACACACACACACACACACGCACACACACCTGACATATGACCATATATATACTGTATATATACATACATATGACCTGAAGATCTCATCATTAAGAGGTATAGATGCATGTCTCATGCTTGTCCCCATCAGTGTCATATCTTCCCTCTCCTTGTCTGCCCTTCACTCCATTAGTCGACACAGAACCAGACCCCATGCTTCCTGCTGTGTTCTTCTCTGTGTCCATTCATTATGAAGCGTCCCATCCTCCCACGGTTCTCTCTCCCTGTCCTCCGTCTTCCCTCACTTGTTCTTGTCAGTCCTTGTGGCTCTCTGGAAGCAGAATTATTCTGTTTATCTCCCTTCTCTCAACGGAACTTCTTCATCCCTCCCTTATCCTCATTTTCCTGCTGCTCTGCTCGCTGTGTGTTCAAAGTACAGAGGACCCCCCCCAGAGAGCTGCAGAGAGGAGTGCGTATGGGCCGGAATAAAAAATTAGTGTTAAAGGAGGGAAAAGGAAAATGGGATGAAATTAAGGTCATGTGGAGTCACCTGAATTTCAGATTTTTATACCCCTCTCTCTCCCTTTTTTTTACCACTTTGCCTTAATAACAAATGTCATGGTAGCTCTGTATAAAGCATTCAGTCTTCTTCCGCCTCCCTACTTGGCTATTATAATGAGTTTTAACCCACAATGCAGAAATCTGCCCTTTTCTAACATCCATTCATTGTACATGAATAGCACCCTCTTCAGTTGTTTTGGTATTACTGAATGCATCCCTCTAAAAAAGTGCCGTTCAGCCGTTCTTTTGGCTTAGAAGGATCATAAACGTGCTGGTGTGACAAAGCAGGGCAACCATGATGAGCACAGAGAGCCTTTACATTTGATATCCAAAGACATATTGAGGCCACTGGAAAGTGTTCACTGTACTCTGCATGTATAATTTACGATAACAGCCAATGGGACTGAGTGTTTCAGTTGCATGGAGAACATGTGCAGCATTCCCTTGTGTTGGTGGTATGTCGTCGTTCCCTTTAAGTCACACAAGAAGCATGGCGCTCGAGATTCTATTGCACGGTTGCTATTCCAGTTTTGTTCAGAGTGAAATATCTCAGCAACTATCTAATAGATTTTTTTTGACAGGAGTTCATAGTCCTCAGTTGTTGAGTGTGTTTGAATCCTCTTCCTTTTTCTAGCGCAATCACGCCCCACATCATTTCATCTCAACACGATGAATTGTAAACACTTTGTTTGATCCCTTTACTTTTTTTTAATGTTTGGATTATGTTTTTGGCCTTTCTCTTCTTTTTGATAGAACAGAGGATAGAGATAGAAATATGCAAAGAGAGAGGGACAGTCCACTTTAAAAATGGTACAATCTGTTCTCCTCAGTTCCAAAAACCTGAACAAAGTGTTGTTAAAAGAAAAGTGTATACAGCAGAGTAGCAGACATGACCCAAAATGTGTTGTATGCATCAAATTCAAATTGGGCATAACATTTAAAAAAAAAACAACAACGACATTTCCTAATTTCAAGATTTGTCATGTTCAATTTTGATAAAATGTAGGGTATGAATGTTTTGCAAATCATTGCATACAGTTTTATTTACATTTTACAAAACACTCCAATTAATTAATTAATGATTAGGAATAAGGGTTGTAGATGACTGGAAACTACTGAAACTACAGGACCATTAGGACAGATCATCTTTAAAGAGTAAAACTACAAATAATTGTGATGGGATGAATTATAAAAATAATTTGGTCAGATTCCCCTGATTATTTGTGCAGCTTTAGTTTGGTTTACAATCATAACATCGTCTGTTGTGTTCTCTAAGCATGTGAGGTTGACTAGTGGCATCGACTTCATTTAGCACTGTTCTTTTTAAAGCGGGTTCAAAGGCAGAGAAACACTGCATTGCTGTACTTTCTTCATAACCAAAAAAGGTGAGAAGACAGGAAAAAAAAAAAAGAGCATACAGCGGGGACTGTAATAATTAACACAGTGAGAAAGCAGGTGGCAGGAAAAGTTTTATGGAAGTGTTAAAAAGAAGAAAGAGAAATATTAAAGAGGGCGTGTGAAAGCAGGATGTTGGCCACAGTGCAGATATATATTTTATGCACCCGTGGGCCGTTGGTTTAGCTTCAGTATAATGAAGCGGGGCGAGAGAGAGGGAAGTGGAGTAGGAAGAGTACAGAAATGAAGAGTGACACAAGTTCATTTTACTGAGTATGTTTTGACATGTCGCATTAAAAAGAAGAAAGAGAAATATTAAAGAGGGCGTGTGAAAGCAGGATGTTGGCCACAGTGCAGATATATATTTTATGCACCCGTGGGCCGTTGGTTTAGCTTCAGTATAATGAAGCGGGGCGAGAGAGAGGGAAGTGGAGTAGGAAGAGTACAGAAATGAAGAGTGACACAAGTTCATTTTACTGAGTATGTTTTGACATGTCGCATTGGGCAAAGCTCAGGAGTAAATGATAAAATAAAAGATGGCTCAATTTCCATTTACCTGCTGCAGTTTGCATGCTAGTTCACTGTGGTGGATCACCGGGACACAGGGCCGCTGGGGGCAGGAGCAGATCCCAGCTGACAGGCCACCCTGGACTGTTCACATATGACATATACTAACTCCACACAGAAAGGCCCTGTCAGACAGGGATTTGAACCAGGCACCTTCTTGCTGTGAGGTGACCGTGCGGCCCATTTAGGTTATTTCATCATCTTTTCCAGCCTTAAAAAATGTCTGTGGTTGGCATCAGTTAAATATTACAAACTTTTCAAACTTTTGAGCGAATGTGTGCACAAACACACACTTGTACCCTCGCAGGATTCAGCCAACCTGTCATAACTTGGAGCTGTGTGAGTTGATTATCTGTCACTGTTTAAGGTCAAACACAGACTAAGATTCCATAAAAAAACACACAAGACAAATACCAGCTGACAGGGTCACCCCTCAACAGCAGGCCAGCCCTGACATTTGTGTGTGTGTTTGTGTGTGTTTGTATGTGTGACTGGAGCTATTTCTTAACTCACTTGAACAGTCTGCTGCCATCTGCACTGTCCTCATCTGCTGACCTTTCTCTTCTTTGTTTCTCTGTTGCAGAGCTATTTGAGATTTTCAAATAAAAATACTTTTTCAGAGTGTTTCATTTCTCATCCACCTTTTCATGCGTGAGAGTCAGTTCTGCTGCATCTGCAATAACTTTTCAGGATTTAATTGAAAACCAAACTGTGGTTGAAATTTTTCTCGCTCTCAGCCTCGGGGAGCTATGTCGGCTGTAAGACGAGTTTTAATTCTGTATTTCACGAGACACGCTGTCCTTTTTATTTGAGCTCCCCCCCTCTCTCTCTTCTCTACCTCCCGTCCTTACTTTATGTCCTCTCTCATCTTCTTCCCTCAGCCCTGCTCCAACTCTCTTGCCCTCCTCCCCCTCCCCAGCCGATCGGCCCCCTCCAGTCCAGCAGGACCATGATGCTCAGCAGCTCTGTGGAGGTGCCCAGCCCGGGTGGGTTAAGCGGTCTTAGCGGGCTGAGTGCGGCGGCCCGGAATGTGGTGCGCTCCTCCAGCATCTCAGGAGCCATGTACAACCTGGAGAAGAGTCCCGGCAGCGGGGGCCCGGACTCCTCATCACTGAGCGGCAACAAGAAGCGGCGCTCAAGTCTTGGTGCCAAGATGGTGGCCATTGTTGGGTTGTCGCAGTGGAGCAAGAGCACACAGCAGCTCAACCAGCAAGGTCAGTTCCCAGTCTGAAAAGATTCTCTTGGGTGTTGCCTCTTTCAGTAAAGGTTCACTAATGATGCAAATGAAATGTGTTTTTTTTTTTGGAAGCTCTTTTAAAATGAATTAATCTGAACTTTCCTTGCTTAGCTGAGCTGCTTTAGTTTAAGTAACAGGAAACTCCAAATCCACTTTAACCTTTTAACAATGAAATTGAAAGAGACAGCAGCGGAAATGAACCCTTTCAGACAGAGGCCAAAATGTTTTGCTTTTTACTGACACCAGTAAAAGATAAATAAGGAGGTTTTTGAGCTACACATCTCGCAATGCTACTCAATAGATAATTCAAAACATTACAGTGAAAGTGAGTATAATAGATCTCCTTCAAAGAGTCATTTTAAATTCCTGGTCTGATTCTGAATCCCGCAGCCAAACAAACAGGACTTCACTGATTGTCACATGCACTTAGTGTTTATTAAACAAAACAGCTAAATTAGCTGGTTTTGTAATATTTTAAACATTTATTCTCATCCGATTACGAGGACGCTTAATGAGACTCTCAACTATGATGTCATGCATGCGTTTGAACTATTTCAAGCTAAATATTCTGCGGCTGTAAATAGCTAAACGGATGTTAGCAGACAGTGATTTTTGAGTGTTTTCACCACCAATTAAATTAGCATAAACCCCTTCAAAGCTGATTTTGTAGTGCACTTCCATTGCCATAATACCTGTAATATCTTAGTCAACAAGCCTTTTACTTTTTGTCCTATTATCATTGTAATGAGCTCTTTTAAAAAGCCTGTATCAGCATTGTGAGCATCATCCACTCAGAAGTGGGAAGTGCGGCAGGATCGGCTTGTATACAAGGTGCCTGTATGTCATGATAACAGTGCTATGTTTGTAGGTTTGTCCTGTGGGGTACAATTAGGGAAACTGTGCAACGGCAACTAAAGTGTTTTGTGATGCAGGGTGGAACACAAACACAGTCACTCCTGGAGGGAGAAAGGGAAAACATGTCACACACCAAGTCAGTTCCTGGGGCGGTGGGGGGGGCAGAGGTGCAGCTTATTTCAACGCAGTTATCGTTCATTTTTCTACATCCTCTTAATCTTAGCACACTCTGTTTCTCCTTACAGCACATTGAACTGTAACCTTTTCAGAGCAGCGTCTGCATGCTTCTTTCTGCTCGGATGCTCGCTTTTATTTTTGTACAGTCTGCGCGTCTTTGTCTGAGAGAACATTCAGTCTTCTTACAAGGTATGTGGGTTCTTGAGTTTGTGTCACAGCAGGCTGGCTCCCCAAGGATAAGTGCACCCATCCAAATATCACAAACTTTTTTAAGTGTGTTAGTTTGATTTGCTTTCGTTGGAACAAACAAGCTATTCACCGTACAGTCTAAAACAAACATGATAGAAATTCACAGGTTCCTGGGTTAGGGCGGAGAACATTTTCAGTCATTCTTAGCATTGGGCTTAGTGCTCCTTTGAGCGTTCCAATAATTCAGAGAGAAAATATTCACACATGCACGAACCAAACGAACCACACACAAAAAAACCACACTTTTTCTCAGAATCATGAAATAACGTTGATGACCCCTTCTGCATAAAGTGCAAAGGAGATTGCTAGCTCTTGTAGAAATGTATGATTATTTAATATGTAGTATTGGGTAAGAGTGCAGGCTTGTCCTCCTTTGTCTTCTTCTGTAGACGTCAATTAATATCCAAAGAAAAGTCCCTCTCTTGTTCCCTTTTGAAGTTATACCGCTCTCTGCTTGCTGTTTTATGTCATGGGTCTATCAAAATATGTACATACAGGGGCACCAGTGGCCTAGCGGTTAGTTGGCAGGCACCATGTATAGAGGCTGTATGGCATGGCGACATGGTCAACATTTGACAAACACACTCTCATCTAAACCCTGTATCACATTGGGGTGTTACCTGTTTTTGGCATGTATCAGTTTGAGAAGTCTGCTAGTCAATACACACACACGCACACACACACACACACACACACACACACACACACACACACACACACACACACACACACACACACAAAGCTTGGTGCATTCATGCACAGCTGACACTTTTTGCTGTCGATATTTTCACCACAGGGGGCTTTCATGTCTCTGTGTTGGTGCTGATGAGGAGAGCACAATGGAGGGGAAAGGGTGGACGAGGAGGGGCTGAAGATAAGGAGAAGAGGAAGGGGAGAAGTGGGGTGTGTGTCTAAATTTAGATGTTCTCCGCTGCCGTAAGAGCACATTAAGCCTGAAACATATAACGTATGAACCACTCCCTCCACCTCTTCCATCCACAGCGTATACCATACCTACCGCCCATACTGTGGGGATATGCCTCCTTTCAGCTCCTATTTGACCTTGCAAACAAGTTAGCAAATTAGCAAAAGGCAAAGTGGTGGTTGTAAGTCGAACGAAGAAAAACAAGGACAACTTTACTTGTTACTTACAGTATGACTGCGATGAACGTTATCCCTTAAGCTTATTGTGATATAAGGCAGACAAAAAATTGACTTCTACGCACCGAAGCAGTTCGACTTCTGGTTTAAAGCCCAGCATGGAGACTGTGGAGCACCCCCAGAAAGCCTTGTCCAGTGTATTGTTATACACTCAATCTCCTACTTCATTATCTAGGTGTGTTAGTTCAACTTCGAGAAATATTTGGTAACATTTCAGCATGACTGACATGTTCACATGAATTTTAAAAGTCCAGTTTTTGTCGGACTAACACAATAAATCATTTTTTTTTCTGACTGTGTGTAAATATATCGACTGTTCAACCAGGAATTTGCAATTTCTACACAACATCTTGCTTCCTTGAAATCAACAGAACCATTGACTATGTTGTCTTCTTCACCTCTGCAAATTACTGCAGCTATAGAGGCAAATATTTGTTGCGTATTATTAAGAGTTAGTTCTGATGAGACAGACGGGTCCCGGAGAGAAGGATGAACAGAGCGCCAGGCAAACATTCAGGCTCCATCAGTCAAGTTCGATTAGGGTCCTATCTTCACCCTTCTGATGATCATTAACGTTTTAATCTGGTCAGCTGTCACTGCTCCATGCTCCCAGACACATTCATCGATAGGCCACAGGAGCGGGTCGGCCCCCTGCCTTGCTTGGTTGCTCATCTAACAGCTGAAGAAAAAAAACACAGGTTGGACTGCTCCCCAGGAAGGAATAAAGTGTGAGAGTCATATTTGAGACTCTGGTTGCAGAAATTGGATAATAATAGCGGTTCATTTGATTTATTTTCATATCTATTAATCAGATTTATGTTGAATGTCTAATGTGTTTAAACACAAGGCATGCTGCTGATGACACAGATATAGAAAAGACAGAGTGAATGGAGTCGACGGAGAGATAAGTCAGTGTCTCACCATTAAAGCGCTATTAAGAGCTAATGTGGTTATTATGTTGTTTATTGTGTCACAGTTTCTTCAGGGCATGTTCTCGCCGTGCCTCCATTTGTGAATTGGATCTGGACAAATTTAGCAGAATCTGTCCTGGTGAGCTCTTAAGCAAGCGGTGTTGTTGTGGACGAATCTGAAGTGTTTCTAAAAGAAGTATCTCCCCAAAATAAATCTCAAACTAACGCAATTAATGGTTGCATGTTCTGAAAAACAGATTTGTTGATATAAATGTATGTAGGGGTTCTTAATGCAGCTTTGGCTTGATTATCGTCCAATGATGTCTCAGTCAATACAACAGTCCCCTTTATCATCCTCTAGCCTTTTAGTATAGTTAGCGCTCCCCCATATGAAGCACTTATTGGCTCTTTTATCCGTCACAGCTCTGAGACAGGTCAGAGAAACACCTGCCTTGGCCAAAGCTGTCATGATATAGTCCTCTTTAGTTTGTCTTTCCTGCTGCTTGTTTGTGTGTTCTGTTTAATTTAGTCTTTTCTTTTCCTTGTGTTTCTCACTCGTCTGTGTATTATAACTGAGTTCTCTGTGTGTCTTCAGTGTTTCCTGTTTTATTTTGTAGTTCTTGTCCCCAGTGTTTCTTGTCTTACTTCCTTTTTTTTTTTTGTCTGGTTTCCCGACTATTTTGATTGGCCTCTCTGTTTCTTCTTTGTGTGTTTATTTACTCTCTGTGTGCTTTACCTTCTGTGTCAGTTCATACGTCTTACCTGCCCTGTTACTCCTCCTTGTGATTGTTCCTGTGACTTGTTTTTCCAGTTTGTGGCTTGATGGACTATTTGTCGGACTCGTCATCAGTAAGAGTTTGTTTTTCCGTTTTGATGTTTTGTTACGTTAAATATTTTTTGTAGCACCGCATTCGGACCTTCCACCTATGTTTGTGAAAGTCTGCATTTGAATTCAAATGACTTGCATGGGTTTATTCAAAACCAGAATGAAACGCTGACACACTAAGCGAGTAACGAAAACCCCTCTTTTTGCACAATTCTAAAAAGTAAAATATTCCTTTTAATAGGAGAATTTCCTTTTTGTAATATCCAAGTGGCAACCTCTGGTGTTGAAACAGAAAGCCAGTGCAGAAGTGTAAAAAAAAAAAAAATGCAGTTCCTTTATTGTCCACTTGAGGCTGGCTCCAGAAAACAAGGAATCCCGTTTAGCATGTTAAAATGCCCATTGTTTGTCTGGTGCAAGAAAAGAGTATTAATTTCTTTAGCTAATTTTTTTATTCCCCAAAAACAATTCAAGCTGAAACAATATGCTTTTATATAACTCGTCCGTTCTGATTACATTAAGTCCAAAAGTTGAGCATAAATTAACATAATTAGGGGTGCAGATGAGTTGACTGACAGATGGCTGCATTGTTGTTTGCCAGGAGTCCTAAGGTACGCTTTAGCACCACCTCTTTGCCTATTTCTAGATTGATTGACAATCAGACAGAGTCTGCATTTCTAATATGGCCACCGCCATTATGGCGCCTCTATAACGCCTCTTCAGAAACCAATTGGGTGATGTCTTTCAGACCACAACCATGTCTTTAGTCTTTTCTAAAAACGCCTATAATCATAAAAGCCA